CGCTCCGAGCGCTGATACATCGTCCTCCACATCCACCACCTCGTAGAGCGATTCTGCGAAGACTGGATACGTCCAATGACCATGGACCTGCGGAAGCGCGATTCTAGCAATGCAAGAATCTTGGTCTGGGTCTTTGTTGAGCCGTGCAGACTGGGAATACGGATTTTATTTTTGGATTTTCATTCCGGAAAATGCAGAGTAGATGGACTGCTCATGGGGCTTGCGAGCTTTGTTGTGCACAAACGTAGCGTCGAAATCTTCACTGGAAGGACGCGCTGCCGATTGAACAGTCTGTTCGAATCGAGTCGATCAATCGGGTAGGTGGGGGCCAGTTCAAAGCATTCGAAGTCTGACTTGGAACTTGGCAATTCATAGCGACGAGCGTATGGAAGAGGGAGTGATATGAGAGGCTTGAATCGTACGCAGGTGTTTGGAACATCGTAGGCGAGCGCGTTTCATCGATCGACCAGAAAGCCGAGAGGTGGAATACCAAACTCGCACTATTCGAGCCTCTGAATATGTCGCTCTTGCTGCTTTGCAAGTTCTGCTCCTGAACCCCACCGGCGCACGGAAAGTTGTTGGTCGTCGTTGCGCGAATGGATACTCAGTCACGAATCACGATAGGCACGACGATGCGATCGCCATGACGCTGACCAAGCTGTGCGAAACTCCCAAACTCGTGATACGATCGCTCGTGGGTGCTACTGGAGTTTGCCCTCACGGAGATAGCAAGCAAGCAAGCCCACGTTGTTGGATCCACATCTCGCCTTCGAATTTCCCCTTGATTAAAGATTGTGGCTTGCATTCACGATGTTTGAACCTCACGACTCGATCATTCGATCGATCAGCACTTGCACTTGCCAAGCGGGGCAAAGCCTAGGCGAGTCGCCGCTCGGCACGAATACTGCATGGCCACGACCCTTGACCCCGCCTCCTTGGACACTTACGACCCTTCAATCGATCGACATGTGCGTTGTGCGTCCCTCGTCGCACCCGGGACTTCGATCAGCATCGAAGTCATGCTCCACCCATACGAGGTTGAACATCGTTCGGTGCTGCACAAATGAGCAGTGCGAATCAAGAAAAGATTCGACTCGGGAATCACAATTGTCATCTTGATTGTTCGGCAAGAGGCCGCG